TACAACATATGGGACATTCGGGAGTAGTCGGCAACGAAAAAACATTCGCTCTTTCTTTTTAGCTTTAAAGGGAAGGGAGCTCGATATAGTTAACAGGTTTCGAATACTTTTGTTTGCTTTGTATTCAAAGATTACTTAAATTAAATTTTGAAATAAATAATAATACAGCCCGACTAAATTTTAAAAATATTGGAGTCCAGGAGCAAGGATATATTTTTCTGAAGCACCTTTGGTAAACTTTTTTGATTGAATTAACTGTTTAACAAAATTTTATCAATCTTATACCCCCTTTACACTACAGCGAAATCTATAACTTATGAGATTTCGAGCAAATCCAGTTGATTTTTACTAGATTTCCGGTTAACCGGTTTTTTCCGAATTTGAAAATATCAATCGGTTTTTTTCAAATATCAACTATTCGAACTATTCGAAAACCGGTTTTTGAAAAATAACTCTGGAGCACTTTCTTTGCCACTGTCAGACATCCGTCGAAGTTAGATCCAAGTATCTTGGAAGTGTTGTTATTTCGGAAATAACATTCCTGACTAACACTGATTGGAAAATTCTTAGGAATAACGTCCAGGAAACTGAGTTTCTGAACATTGAAAAATAATATACTCAGTGAACAAATTTTTCAAGAAAAGGAGCGCACAACGGGCCCGATAGTGACCTAGGTGTATTTCTGCGGATTGGGTGTACTTACATCCTCCTATCAACCTAATCTAATCTTCCCTAAAGGCACTTAAAAATAGAATAGAAACAGGGGTGTGAATCAATTTATGAAAGAATTCAGCATTTTTTTTTTGAAAAATTAAATGTTAGAAAAAACTTTTAAAAATTAAAAATATAAGTATGTATATAAGTTTCGACACAACTGAATATAGCATTCTTACATGTGTTTTGTTTCCCTTTTGCATTGATATAAACAAAAAATTGACACTTGTTCTGCCGACGTTTTGTTAAGTACTATGATAAATATTTATCAAATATAGACATGGTTAAAAAACAATCGTAAAAAATAATTATAAAATAATCTCATCTCTAATTTGAGACATTTTTGTCATGCTGAATGACAAATTATTATCATGATAAAAATTATCCGGCATAGTCAGCATTCATTATCGTTACTGCAGTGTTATGGCAGAATTATCAAAACAATTTTTTAGTAAACTTTGTCCATATAGTAGCGTATAGGCGAAAGGTATCGTCAAAGACCTAAGTCCCCTGTCAAAAACCTAACTGGTGAGAATTAGGGTTCTATAAATAGACTTTCGAATAATCGAACAATCGACTTTTTGTCGAAAAAAGTCGAAGTCGACTATTTTGTTCCAAAAAAGTCGATAACTCGACTATCGTCTGTGAAAAAAGGCGAAGATTCGACTTTTTTAATAAAAGTCGAAAAAAGTCGAAAAGTCGATAAGTCGAATAAAGTCGGAAAAAGTCGAAAACTCGAAAATTGTAGAAAAAAGTAGAAAAAGTTAAAAAAGTAGAAAAAAAGTCAAAAACTCTAAAGTAGTCGGAAAAACTCGAAAAAAGACAAAAATAGTCGAAAAAAAATTCGATAGAAGTCGAAAATAGTCCATAAGTCGAAAAAAGTCGGAAAAGGTCGAAAAGTCGACTATTTATACCCGTTAATAAAACAACCTTTTGATAAAACAGCAAACCCTAACAGCTGTTTTTGATTGTTGTGTGGTGAGTTTCTGTAAAAACGTAAACAAATGAAAAAAAAAAAACAAATTACTAGACATATTATTTTGTGCTAAGAAAAATTTATGTATTTTAATAATGTTTTATAGCCAGTGCAAGTGTTCTTGGTGTACACCATCTACCCCAATAATAATCCCGGTTTCATTAGAATCAAGTATTTTTAAAACGGCCATATATAATGTGCAATTCATTCTATATGCCATGACTGGTTGAAAGAGTCACGGAATCCATCGGAGATCAACCTAAAAAATGAAAAAGGGGTGGATTTAACTTCTTGTTCCGTTCATATGGGACAAGATTCGAGCCTCATCGTATCAGTTCGCCAGATACCTCATTTGTGTATATTGCAGGGTCCTGGTACCCAACACAGCCTTATTGTAAACGGTCTCATAATAATACTTCGATCTTTTCTTCATTCTACGACTATGCAAGAATACAGCTATGACATATTAATGCTTTAAATACAGGTTGATAGTCATCAACCTAAAATCTTACCAGAGACCGGCGAACAATGTGATTCCCTATTAGTTCCGTCACTTTCAAGATCGCTAAATCACCACTTGGAAGACACAACCCATCTGGGTGTCAAGGAACATTTTACACCGTTTGTAACACATTGAAATATTGGTCTAATATCCATAAAAGTATATGCTGGGATCTTATTACAGTCTAAGATTGAGTTTGTTATTGAAAATGGACAATATCGGTATACGATAAACTCATCAAGGAGCCAAGGAACTTTTACACCGAAATATTGGTCTAAAATCCATAAAAGTATAGACTAGGATCTTAGCCAATATTTGCCAAAATATTTTTAGTTGATGGAGTTTATTATTGAGCTTCAATATTCCAGTATAGCGAAGAAGAACGACAAAAACAAGTTTTATAGGAACTAAAATCTTTTTGCCAAATTTTATGAGGATCAGGAAATTATTTTACAAGATTTATATGATCCAAAACCTTTCTGGGTTGGTTCAAAATTGACCCTACCCCTATATAAGTTCCCCTTCAGAAAAAGATATTAACTCCAATAATTGTAATAAAAATACCAATATAGCAAAGAAATTCCACATAAACAAGGAGTCAACATCGTTTTGTCAAATTTAAGGGGATCGGTCCATAATTTAACCTATCCCCGATATAAGGTCCACCTCGGGAAATTACTACCACTCATAACTGGCTTAAAAAATAGCTATAAAATTCGACAACAACTTTTATATAAAACAAAATTTATCTGTTGAATTTTGTAAGGGTCGGTCCACAGTTGACCCTACCTAAAATCTCAAACAGATTATGCCATCCGATTTCTACACTTCCAACTTAAAGTTCTATATATGTTTTTATCGTGCACAAGATCTTCCGATAGCAGTTATGTATAATTTTCTATATACGGATATAGTCACATTTTGTAAAAAAAGTTTGTTGCTGTAGTACACACCCTAGAACGATGAACTCCACAAAACAAATTATGCCATCCGATTTGTATATTTCCAACTTAAAGTTCTATATAGGTTTTTATCGTGCACAAGATCGTCCGATAGCAGTTATATATTATTTTCTATATATGACCATAGTATTATTTTTTGAATGTTTTTTATTAAAAGGCATTCTGTAACGATATAATCCCAAATATATTTATATTTTATCAGATTTGTTCCTTTCCACATTTATATACATATTTTAATTGATCAAAAATAATTTTTTTAAAGTAAATCATGAAAATCAATTTTTTTGAATCTTTTCCACGTGCATAAACACATATTGAAAATGTAAATATTGAAAACGAGTTTTTGCGTCTTTTCCACGTGCACAACAACATATTTGTAAACAAAAAAAACTCACCACACCAAAAAAAATGTTTATTTTGATAAAACAGCTGTTGCGGTTTGTTTTATTTTTCGTCGGGTTGTTTTCTTTATGTGCGTCGACTATTTATAAAATACTTATAGTCTAAAAGTCGACTTTTAATTAAAAGAAAAAGTTGAAAAATCGACTTTTCATAAGAACCCTAGTGAGAATGTATTGGTAGAAGCACAAAAATAAACGCAGTTGTTCAAAAAGGTACTAAATAATAAATGTATTTTTGATGCGTTATTTTTTGTGTGTAATTACTGGGATTTCATATACTAGTGAATGAAAATATTAGTAAATTAATTTTTTTTCGAAAGACATTTCATCTTAAAACATAATATAAACACGTCGTTTTGGTATTTTTTCTACACCAATGGAAAAAGAAAAAAGTATGTGAAACACTTGTTTCATTTTAAATACGATAATTTACAACTTTTCTTTTTTCAGTTTTAATTAAAATTAAATGTCAAGGAATAAAAAAATATTTTTTTTCGTTTGTAAAATATAAATTATTTTCGGCATTTTAAATACATTTAAAGTGTGGCAAAAAAATAATAAATATTAAGTTTAAGTGATAAGAATAACTATTAAGTGCTAATATCCTCGCAATTTCGCGAAGAAAATTTGAAGTTTTGTGAGTATGTTTAGTTTTCTGAAGTGTGTTTAATTCTCTCAGAACTCGTCTGTGTGAAGAGAATAACAAATTTTGTTTGACAACCCCTTCAGTTTCGCCTATATTCCTACTATATGACTTTGTCTTTCCTAGTGTCTATATTAGCCCTTGTCTATATTACCCTGTGTCTATTAGAAAAAGATTTATCACGGCTCTTGACAAAACGTCGGCAGAAAAATTGTCAGTTTTTTGTTTATGTTAATGCATAGGGGTAACGAAATGCGATTTTATAACGACAACTCACACATAATTTTATTGAAATAATGTTATATTTTATAAAAACAATTAAAATTAAATGCAAATTTGGTATATAAACACTAATTTCACTGAAACTTATGTTAAAAATCAATTTTAATTGCACAAAAACAAAGTTCTAAACAAATTTTACAATAAAATGACGTTTGTTATCAAGACAACGTTGTCTAAACAATTGTTTATACAACACTGTCATAACGACGTTATAACGCTAATAAATGCCGTCTGTACCTGTTAATTTTTTATCATGATAACAGTTTGACGTTTAGCATAATAAATATTTGTCTAATATAGATAAGGTGTTTATAAAAACATCACTTAATTATAAAATTAATAATAAGCCCATGTGTGCAAAATCTTTGTTGTGGTTACTTATATTGATGGTTAAAGTTTGGTACATATTAAAAATAATTGCGTATTTCTAAATTCCTATGTTTATTCTGTAGGGATTTATAAATACCCAAAATAATTCAATTATATAGTTGATTTCTACACTATTTTTCAACGATATCTTCACACGTTTCAAAACAGCTGACTTAATAAAAACATTCAGATTTGTGTGTGCGTAAAAATTGTTTACGCTGAAGCCGCCGAGTCTGTTCTTTGTCGTGTAGTTTAAATATTAAATAAATTTAATGAAAATAGCCAAGTTTACTAATAATTATATTGTAAGTTTTATGAATTACACACATGGCCATGAGCGACTAATTAAAAATTATTCTTTCAGCGGTTATTTGCTCATAGAAATAAAGCTATTTTCACGAGTTATAAACCGGTAACGAAACTATCGTGTTCCTTATTTTACCAATATCAAAACGTTACGAATTATTTTGCAATGTTCAATACGAAATTATTCCGACATGCCCAAACGCAACATGGTGACGACACTGTTGACATAGACAATATCGTACTGTGCAAGGCTACTGTATTTGCACTTCCAGGTGAAAACAGTTTTGAGGACAACACACTTGAAAATGCGGATCGTAGCGCGAGTGATAATGAATCGGAAAATCTAAATACGGATAATAACGTGGTATCTGATGCGGATAATGTCATAAAATCGGAATCGCCACAATGTGTCTGGTTTTTTGAAGTTGAAGATGTAAATGTCTACAATTCTAAGGTAGGATTTTATATTTATAATTCTAAGCAGGATTTAACAATTTACCCTGTAGGAAATGGAACTAGTATTTTACTGGTACTAGTTTTTTATTTTGTTATAATTTCATATCTAGTCACCTGTCGCCTCAAATAACTAATATCTAAAGTACTGCTCAAAAATATAGCGCACCTTGTTTTAGGTTTTTATTCTTTTTATATTATTACAATAAATTAAGTTAGAAAAACATGATTGATGGCAAATTCAAGAACGAAGTCCAGTTTATGTAATAAGTATCAAAATTCCGTGTAAGTCGGCAAAATAACGGTAATAGGGCTTTTTATACAAAACTAACCATAAAAAACTGTTTCATAATTATAGCACACTCTTTGAAATACGTTGAAACAATATTGAAAAATGTTAATTAATTTTAAAAAATTGCAACTAATTATTATGAAAGGACAGTTGTCTATGCTTCTAAATGCAATTTAATTTGATGTGACAAATATTAAGCAGTTGTCTTTGGTTATTTTTGCTGAAATGTGTCTTGTAGTACTAGTAAATTTCTTTATGTCAAAATATGCCCCTAATGGGTCAATAGTCCATTTTTTTTTAATGAGAATTTAAAAATTTTTTTCCCAGGTAAACAACAGTCTGACCCTCTAACATGGGGTCAGACTGTTGGCATATTTAAGATTGTGATGATACAAATTGTAATAATTTTATCAAATTTCACCATAAAACCTTAAAAAACTTGCTTCTAATGTTTAATAATTATCTATGGAATAATAACACATCATTACTATGATCTGAATATGCTTAATTCTATGCAAGTTAAACCTCACATGTAATATAAAAAAATGAAGAACTAATCCGCAAATATCTAATATCGTATTACATCGATTTGATAATAAATTTGTATATTAATTAAATAAAAAGAATAGTTTTCTTTCGAATTGACCTCTATTTTCCATTTTTTGAAATTAAAATTTGCATTTACTGAAAATAAAATTTCCATTTATAAGAATTTTAAAAACATTTTTTGGTGGTGTTTCAGTTAGCACATGTGCATGTCTTAGCATCCTTTTTCTTGGCCTATTATCTTTTTTTAAGGATTTGAAAATACTAGAGTCACTAAATTTTTAACCTTTTGGAGAAAATATGATCATATTTTTGGGCCTATTTAAATATAGGCCTAGTTGAAATATTAAAAACGCTCAATGCTATCGCGCGAAATTCAGAAATTTTGGATCTATCAAGGAAATATTCTCATATAACATTGACCAAATTGTTATCAAATGTTTATAAATTATATTATGATTGAGTAATTAACGATTCATGTCTTCAGAATTTAAAATCGCTCCATAAATTGATTGTAAAATGCTAAAAAATGTTGTTCAAGTTCGATTTATGGTTTACACTTGTTTTGATAACATATGCAAATACTATTTTTTGCAACGTTAGAATCTTATTAAGCTCCGCTTTATTTACAACTTTGTTGGAAAATTCTAACGAGTAAACCGTTAACGGTACCTAAATATTGTTTGCCACCAATTTACGTTTTGTAAATTAAAAAACACTTCTTTTCTGATCGTCAACATAAGCACTACGTGCTCTTGGCGTTATTGCTTCTACGAGGTAAAATAATAATAATAAATAAATACAGAGAGATCTACGTCTCATTAAATTTGCAAATATTTTGTTTTATTTTCATAAAATCTTGGGAAATTGTGGTGGAGCTGAACATTTGGTCCTAGCGAACCGGATTTTTGTGTATCATACACACATAGATTTTTGGCATCTTCACTCCATCATCCTTTGGAAAACATACAGTCCACCGAAGATATATTTATTATTAATTTTTACGAAATTTCTACGAAATAAGGTACGTAAATATATTTCAATTGTGAGCAAGTGTTAAAAAATTCTATAGTTTCGCGATCACACACACATATTTTTTGTGATTTTTCAATTGGTTTAACTTGTTGTATTTGTGGATATTTTGCACTAATTTTAACTTTAATTTATATCAAAAAATATTTAAATTCTTTTGATCTTACGGACAATAATTTAAAGCGATATTGTTGATCTTATTTATTATAAATTAGTGTTTCATTACATTTTCTTTTGTGCGTTTGTTTGTTTACAGATTTACATCTGTAAATTCTACCAACAAAATACATTACGGTGTATTCTTGTTCTTCCCTTATATTGGGTACCCTACGGTCGGTCAGTTTGACTATTATCAAGTTTGTTGATATAAATTTTGTAGTCATTCGTAGTTTAATATCGAGTTATTAATTCATCTATTTTTATTACAATTTTTAAATATTAAAAATGTCGGTCACGTCACTAAATGCGTTTATTAGAGCATCGGATGCTATCGTTGCATACCGCGTGAGGTTTGATAATTTAGATGATGAATTGCATGACGTTTTTAAGTTGGAGATTCGGAAACGGGAGTTAGAAAGACTTTGGGACAAAGTTAATTCGACGTACGAAGTATGTCTTAACACTCTAGAGTCTAGTGAATTTAAAGTGGTAGCGGAAAAATATCAAGCCACATCTTATGAATATATTGAATGTGGAGGATCTATTTCTAAGAAAATAAGAACATTGGAATCCGCTTCAAAAACTAATGAACCTCCAACAGCGAATTTGAATTCCGATAATTCAGAGCATAATCTGACGCTCCCTCCATGCGATATCGACTCTTTCGTAGGGGATTATGTTTCATGGCCCGCTTTTAGGGATTTATTTACCGCAATTTACATTAATAGCTCGCGGCTTAGCAATATAGAACGTCTTTGCCATTTAATACGGAAAACCGAGGGTGAAGCTAAAACAATCGTTTCAAGATATCCATTAAATAATAATAGTTTTGAGTTAGCCTGGCGCGATTTAAGGAATGCATATGAGAATCCTCGTATGTTGGTGCATAACCAACTAAAGCTTTTATTTAGTCTTCCTGCCTTTGACAAGGAGTCGATCACAGCACTCAAAACCTTACAGAGCGGAATCGATAGTTTTCTTATGGCACTTTCTATTTATAATGTGCCTACAGATAATTGGGACCCAATTATCGTGTTTATGTGTATTCAACGTCTACCTAGTTCAACAATTATTTTATGGGAACAGGGCATTAAGGACAAATTAAGTTTATCTTCATGGAAAGATTTAGATAATTTTCTGAAGGAAAGAATTCTGACTTTGCAATGTCTTCAAGAAATTAAAGGTACAAACTCCACTAATATGGAA